AACCGAACCGACGTAGGAAACGAATACTCTTATATATATATATATATATATATATATAATAATTGATTATTTTATTCGTTTAAATCGGGATCGAAAAAACCGTTAATGATGAAAAGAGAAAGAAAAAAAAAAAAGAAAGAAAACGTTTCGATATCCATCCGTTATTCGATTTAATTCGAAGAAAATAGCTTATAAGATGCTTTGTGCGTTTATACCAAACTTAAAACGTTAGACAATGCATAATGGGTAACGAGCTCGATTCTTATAAAATCTTTATTTAACGTCGATTCGGTAAGAATTTACAAGTAAGCTTGTCGGAGCAACGGTACGCGTGGTAGAAAAATTATACGTTTCTTAATGGTAATTTTATACGGTTATATTCATAAAAATTATCAAGGGTAAAGTTGGGAACAAATATTTTCTCGAGCAAAAGTTTCATTTCCTTTTGAATGTAAAAATATCTTTCTATTCCTGCTACACTTTATATATTTTTGAATTCGAACACAACGTAAATGGCAAATGTTTTACGTTTGTGAAGACTTGAACACGATCTTGAACAGTAAAATATAATATTAATCTAGCCTTCGAATGAAAAAAACGTTTGTCAAAGGTTAAAATTGTTAACCGCTCGAGTGTTTGGTAATACGAGGGGACGTGAAAAGTGTCAGAGCATTAAGCCCGTATGTCGTATACGAGCGACCCAAGGCGTTTCGAATAAACGGTTTATTTTATAAAAGATTCAGATAGAATGTGACACATTGTAACATTATGAATAAACACATCAAATGTCTGGAAAAGAATGCGTTCCTACTCCGTTGCATTCTTACGTTTAATTTAAAGACATTTTATAGAAATTTTACCACCGCGTAAGTCGAACGAAAAGAAATTTACAAAGACAACGTGTTTTTTTTTTTTTGTTGTATCGCGTATACGTATACGTAGATGGAGAAAAAGTTTAGAAGAGAAGTACGCAAAAAAATATTATTACGTCCAGACTGAAAAACGTTGAATTCTTATTTTAAAATGCAAGGGGAAGACGTATATGTATGTATTCGTATTATTTTCCCTACTTACGAGCAATTTAATTTAATACAATAAACGTTTACATATTTCGAAACGAATATAATTCTTAACCGAAAACAACAATCATAATATCACAATAAGAAATTTCATTCGTTTTTGCACGTAAGCGGTACGATTAATAACATCGCATGCATCTTTCTTTCTTTCAAGTAGAAAATAAGTTTGGAATTTTAATTGATATCGAGCTACGTAGGTGTCCTACGTAGATGTTTGTATACACACAGTATACACACAGTATCAACGAACGAAGGATAAGTTTGTCATTGAAACGGAAAGTCATGGTCGTGAATGTTCTACCAACGTTCTAAACCGCGACGAACGTAAAGACATATTGTTCGGGTGTAACAAGAAACCGTCGTCGGATTTTGGTGGAATGAAAAAGGGGAATATGGCAATCCGCGTAGCTATAACACGAGGCAGCGGGCCGAGCAAAGATGGCAAACGAGGACGTTAGCCGAATAATGCAAAACAAACCTCATTTGAGATATAGTCTGGCATTTGTCCATATTAAGGTGTGCCGTAAGGCTGCCTCGGCATTTTCGTTTTGCGCGTGTGTGCGTGCGCGTACGCTTTGAAATTATATAGCGAGAGCATCAGTCGTCGTTAGTCAGCTCCTGCCGCATTCCGGTGTTAACTATGTGTATCTTGAGCACCCGTTACGTAGCCATTTATCAGTGAGTTCCTTCATACGTGTTATTTTCCGTGTTAAGATGCACAGTTTCGCGCGCGATATTTCACTTTGCCTTCGCGTATCGTCTCTGTATTCGTCGCTAAACAGGATTTATCTTATATGGAATTTTGAAAAATCGATCCATCGAGAATTCTCTCTCTCTCTCTCTCTCTCTCTCATTTTTCGATATCATCTTCCGACTTATATTTTATTTTCGATGTACAATTTCGGATAAACGAGATGGACGTAAATCAACGTTGAACGAATTGCACGTATTTTGCTCATTGTTGGGGAGAAAAGTGGAATTACGCAAAGAGACTACTACTACTACTACTACTACTACTATTACTACTACTATTACTACTACGTTCGTATATTTCAACTTGTCATTGTGTCTGGCAGCCAGACTTTCATCGTAAGCGACACACGCAACTTTATATTAAGCGTAAGTTCTAAACTAATAAGACAACAGCGACGATAGGACGATCAGGGTGAACCGAAAGGGGTAGAGCGACGCAAGAAGGGTTCAAATTTTGGTGGTGAAGCTACAAAGCGGGTCACCGATTACGACGTTGATCGTTTATGAGAGAGATCCAAATTAGATAAGTTGAAGCAGCTTCCTCGCTTCAACCACTCGAGACCATTACTCTCCAAGAATTTCAATTAGGCATCATTTTCGAATTTACAAATCCTTCAAGCTATGC